TCTCTCTCTCTCTTTTTTTACACGTGCGCCTTTTGGGGTGCCCCCCGCTCCTGGACGGCCCCAGAGCCCCCCAAACCCGCTCCCAGACGGCCCAAGACGCCTCCAAGAGGGTTCCCCATATAGGCCTAAAGGGCCCCAGGACGGGCCAACAGACGTCCAAGACGGCCCAAAAGGGATCAGAAAACGGCCCCGACAGCGCTCCAGAAGCGCCCCGAGTGGCCTCGAAGAGAGCTCCACATGGTCGCCGACGGTCCAAGAGCGATCAAAAACGCTGACGACGACCTCCAGACGGCCACAGAGGCCCCCAAGACGCCCCAAGAGGCATCCACGATGCGCCACAAGAGGGCCTCTAGACGCACAAAAAACGCCCGCTCCCTTCGTAAAACGCATGTTTTTCTCGCACGTGCTCCTTTTGGTGTGTTCCCCGCTCCTGGGCGGCCCCAGGGCCCCCCAAGACCGCGCCAAGACGGTCCAAGAAGCCTCCACGAGGGCCCCGCGACAGCCCAAGAGGGCGCCTAGACGGGTCAAGAGGGGCCGAGGACGGCCCAAGAGAGCCCCGAAGACGGCGCGCGCGCGACTCGCGGTCAGATTCCTCGCAACTTGCGTTGCTCCCCGCCGTGCTCGTCACTTGCTTCCGCAGGGCGTTTCGGCGGGTCTCTTCGAGGCGCCCGTCCCGCCTTATAGCACTTGGCGCAAACCACCAGATTGCCTCGGTGGAAATAATTCTTCTTCTGGTCTTTCGAAACTTCGCCATCTGCCTTTGCCCGTGGCACGCTCGGCACACCACCGAGCGATGGGCCGAACCCTTCTTGAAGAAGGCGTTCACTTGCTTATCTGTCAGATGCGTCCTGTACGTGAATTCTCGCTCTTTCCCATCTGCTTCTTTCGGGCACGCGGAGCACGTGAGCACTCGCGACTGATTGCGTTCTTCCTGTCACGCGCGGCACATGACTGGGCGATGGTCCGGACCCTTCGCGAGAAAGTGCTCCACTTGCTTATCTGTCAGATGCGTCCTGTCCGTGAACTCCCGGCCTCTTCCATCTGCTTCTGTCGGGCACGCGGAACACCTGAACACCCGCGAGCGTTTGTGATGCGCGTCGCAGTCGCGACATGTCACTGGCCTATGGCCTGCGCCCGTCTGATAATAGTGCTTGGTTTGGTCTGCTGTCAGATGCCTCGCGTCCGTGATTTCCCGCCCTCGGGCCCTGGCCGAAGGCCCCACCGGATCCACCTGACCCCGAAAACCCCCAGATCGCCTCCAGGTCGCGCCAAGAGGGTCCACCAGGCGACGGGACGACCCGCGAGAGCTCCAGGACGGCTCCCGAGAGGTTCATGGCGCGCCAAAACAGCCTCTAAGGACGCCGAGACGGTTCCGCTTAAGGTCAGGAAGGGCCAAGATAGCTTCACAATGGCCTGAAACGATTGAAGGTCACCCCACGGCCGCCCCTGACGGTTCCAAAAGACACCGCAAAGCAGTTCTGAGGTCACCAAGGGCATACCACAGTCCTCGGCAACAGATGGCGACGGCCAAGACGGCCGAAAAGAACGCCCAGAGCGCCCCATGACAGCCCAAGAGAGGCCGATGACAGCCCAAGAGAGCCCCAAAACAGCCCAATACTGCCACAGGACTGCCTAAGGGGCCCCAAGACAACCCAAGAATGCCCCCAGAATGGCCCAGGGGCCTCAGGCCACCCAAAGAGGCGACCAGACCACTGCGCGATTCTTCATAAGGGGTCGGCGGATGTGGCGTAAGCCTGAAGAATCACACCAAATCCTTCCGACATATAGTGCTCTGTGAAGGCGCCGTGCACGCCGTTCTGCAACCACTGTGTCGTCAGTGAGGGTGTTGCTGTGGCGCTTGCTGATGCCCGATGCGTTGAATGATAGGCGGTCGCTTTTGGCTTGGGCCTTTTCTGAACCACGGTCCCAGCGCAGATCGGAGATCGTCGACGCTGCAAGGGGGTGGCGCAGCCGCACCAGAAGGTGCATGGGTCAGCAGCTCTGCCCCATGTCCCAGCGTTTGCCACATCGAGGCTGGGGCTGTGTGTGTTGGCTTCGTCCACGGTCGTCTGGACTTGGCGGCGGCTTCGGACTCTGCGGCGGCGATCCTGACCTGCGCGGCAAACGTTTCTGCAAGTTGCTGTCGGAGGTGCGATCCGCGGGTCGGGACGCTGGCTGTCTTTGCCGCAGGGGGCACCTTGCTTGTCGTCATCGTCTGGCACGGCGAAGGCTCACAGCGTCTGGCCGTGCGACTAAGTTCACCGCAAGATATGGAGGCAACTGCACAAAAAAAACGATGGCGACATATGGAGCAGGGCGCTCGCAAACCCGTGATTGTGGCGGGAAGATGCCAGAGACTGGCCGCGGCCCAGCGGTGTCAATTTGACACCGCTGGGGTAGAATCACCTCGAGCCAACATGGCTAAGGAGGAGGAGGAGGAAGCCCTCCGTCGTGTCCGTCCTGTCGCCCCTTCTCCCCTTCCCCTGTCGTGCCGACCGCGTTCTACTCCCACAGACTGCTCCAGTTTTCGACCCCCCAGTGACAACGGACCCTGGAGGGGGGGGGGTTGCGCTGGCTTCGACCCCGAAGCCAACAGCGAATAGCGAATGGTGGGACGAGGGCACTCACCGAAGAGAGACGGGCGGTCAACGAGAAGAGATGAGTGCCCAGGCCCTGCCAGGGCGACAGGTCGGCGAAGAACGGCGACATCCTGCACGCCGGGCAGAGGCGGGCCTTCAGAAGGAGGACGGGGACGAGGAGGCAGAAGGGGGGGACCGACAGCGTGTGCCTCGCCGTGAAGGTGAAGGCCTTGGACCACACCCTCGCCAGCGCCCGCCCGTCCACTCCCAGGCGGCCGCCCGCCCTGCGCAGCGCGCCGCGCACGCGCGCCGCCTCCGCCTCGACCTCCTGCACCTGACGGGGCAACGACAGGGGGGGGCTGGGCGAAGGGGGGGTGCATTGACCTCGAATGGCCGACACGCCGCCCGTCGCACGTGGCCCTGACGGGGCGGCCGGCATCGCCGGCACGGCGATGCAGGCCGCCTCGTCGGGTATCGTCTACACATCGTCGACGCGTCGCCCTCATATCAACAATGCATCGTCGATGTGGCAACTATTCGAGGTCGATGCATCCCCCCATGCCTACCCCCGGCATGCGTTGTCCTGATTTGGTCCCGACCCACTCCTGGGAACAATTTGTTCATCCTGAATCGATATTTGATGGTCCCAGGGCCCAGCGAGGGCCCCCAGAGACAGAAAATTACCAATAACCTCCCGTCGTATTTTTTTTCGGCGGCGAGCCCTGGGGGAAATAAGAATGGGCGGGCATTCTCGGAAGGCTCGGAAGGTCCCCAGCCTTCTGAAAAATTGTCTAAGCCTTCCCCGAAGACATAGAAACTTTCCAAGACGGCCGCAGATCTTCTGAGAAGCTCAGCCACCTTCGGAGGAGGCCTTCTCCTTCTCACTTCCCCCCCCTGGGCGCGCCGTCGGATTTGGCTTTTGGGTCATAGCTCGGGTCTCCAGCTGCCGTTCGAGACGATCCAGGCCCTCCCGAAACGCCCTCCGCGAGGCGCAGCTGCTGGCAAGCATCCCGAGGCTGGAAAACCACCGAGAACAGACGAAAACGTCCAAAAACCTCGAACCTCGAAACTTGCCCCCTCGAACCTCGAACCTCGAACCTCCAGACGAAAACGTCCAGACGAAACTTGCCCCCCCTCGCTCGCCGCCGACTTTGCACGGCGCGATCATGGCTGTGCCCCCTGCCTTATCCCCCTCCGTTATCGTTGCCCCCGATCACCGCGGCGCGCAGCAACTCCTCCGTGACGGCCGCGGAGCGGGCAGGCACGGGCCGGGGCACCTTGGCCTGCATGCACCTCCCGCTGCAGCCGGCCTCCTTCGAGGAGGGATCGGACAATTGTTGGTTTGTTATTTTTGGTTTCCTCCCCAGCTGGTTCCACGTGAAACAGCCCGAGCCCGATAAGGTAGACATACCGATCAAGATTACCCTATCATGTATGTATAGATGTATCAATGTATAGATGAATACATATGTGTATATATATATATATATGTATATCGACCGAGTGACGGTGACCAGCCAGAGGAGGGCGCCAACAATGTATGCTTCGAGCAGGGGGTCGACTGAAACGTTGATTTACCCCAGACTTGCTGCTTCGTCGAACCTGCAAAAACACGCTGGACGTTCGTAGATCGACGGAGCACGATAGGCTTCTTCCAGAGCCAAGTCGAAACATCTATGCCCGAGCAGATCCATGACGTAGCCGACCCCCTACTTGAATGCAGGCGTTTTGCTGCCACACGGGACGTCGGAGGAGGAGCGACGGCGGGCCCTCCTGGGCACGGCGAGCCTCGACAACGCATGCGTCCCTCGACCTGGAGCCGGGGACCTGCAGCCGGCCCCCCGTCGGCTACACGCAGGGAGTGAAGCCGGGCACGGGTGGCCTTCCTGGGTGCGCGGCTTGAGGGGAACGCGAGGCGGACCGATCCAGACGCACCAGACGCCGCCGTCCTCCTCCTCCTCCTCCTCCTCCTCCTCCTCCTCCTCCTCCTCCTCCTCCTCCTCCTCCTCCTCCTATCTCCTCGCTCGGGGCCTCGAATTGGCGAGGAGGAGGGGGCCCCGGTGAGCACGCACCAGCGGTCACTGCAGCAGCGAAGGGTCGACCCTTACACGTAGTCGACTCCAGGAGGGCGGCACAACAACTCTGAGGTCAGCGTGGATTTCTCGGATCGGCGCTGGACCCCCCTCCCTGGCGCGCGGAGCGCGCCAGGGGCGGCGCCGGAGGCGCCGCCAGGGGGGTCTGGCGCGGATCCGAGAAATCCGCGCGGACCCCGAGTTTTTATGTCAGTGTCGTTGCTCGTGCCCCTGGCTCCAGTGGCCACTCCGGCAGCGAAGGGTCGATCTCATACGTCGTCGGCTCCAGGAGGGCGCTGAGAGGCCGACTCCAGAAGTCACGGTCCCAGACATGCGACGTCCTGAATTCTTCAGGAACGACCCTTTTCCCGGGACCGGTTTTTCATCCCGAGTCGTTTTTTGGCGGTCCCGAGGCCCGGCGAGGGCCTCCCAGGGCCGAAAATTGCAAAACAAAAAAAAAGGAAAAGAAAAACCTCCCGTCCTGATGTTTTAGCGACGCGACCATATCACCGAGGCAGGATGCCCCGATGGCCTCGGCCTCGACGGCTGCGGCGCGCAGCAGCCGCTCGGTGTCGGCCCTGGCGGTGCACGGTTTCCCCTGGAACCGCAGGCGACCCGAGGAGGAGGAGGAGGAGGAGGAGGAGGAGGAGGAGGAGGAGGAGAGGACGAGGAGGGGGAGGAGGAGGAGGAGGAAGGAGGAGGAAGGAGGAGGAGGAGGGGGAGGATGTTTTAGCGACGCGACCATGTCATGGGGTCCAAAGGAGTTTCGCGTC